AAAAATAAAAATAAATAAAATAAAATACATGACACAGAAATTATTGGTCCTAGTTCCTTTACAAATGAAAATATCTTTTTTTTTTTTTTTTTTTTAAGCTGAGCCATCCTGCCACCTGTTGGCAGCTCAACAAAGCTCAGCTCGGGACACAAAACGAACTGGCGACCCTGTTGCTCAGATTAAAACATCTTGGTTAGGATTACTTAAAGAGCTAAAGCCACAAATAATTCTATGCAAACACAAGTTTAGAAAGTTCAAGTGTGAAAAATTAGACTGAAATCCTTCTTGCCTAAGAAAAAATTAATTCAGAGAAGAAAATATGTATGGTGAAAAAACAAAAAGTTGAAAGGGAAAAAATTTAACCATTTGAGATAATTTTTCTTAAGCACTAGTCTTTGCAAAGCAAATAAGAAGGATCCCACCTATATTGTGCTTTTACAAAAATAAAAAAAATACTTTACCTTGGAGAATCCTAGTGTAACGTGTAACCAACTCTCTCCAATACACTGACTCCTAAAAAAAAAAAAAAAAACTAAGTGAAAAATCTTACCATTGGGATATATCCACTTTCCCTCTTCAATTTTTTACAAATATTATGGATAATTTTTCCAAATAAACTAATTTAAATTCAGGCACATCACATTTAAAGAGTGGCAAATGTTGTATTATGAGCTGAACCTACAAAAAAAAGTTAACACATACTGTTGCCATTTCCAGAATGCCATTAGCAGGTAGCATCACCTTGTAAGGTGGTAAGCGCTCTGCACCATCACTGGAAAGCAGCTCACAACTCACAGTGGAGCAACTGGGTGAAGTGGGAAGTGACAGCAGTGTGATAGTGGCCAAGAAGGCACCAGAAGAGTAGGACTTGTTTTAAAGCCAGGGACGTATCAAGATGGAAAAGCGTGAAAATAGATGGAAAGCTGGAGCACCAAAAGATAACTAGCAATTACTGGGTAAAAGCCATGCCGCTGATGCTTTTCATACATTAGTAGTAGTAGTAGTAATAGTAGTAGTAGTAGTATCATTATTATTTAGTCATATGTGATAGGTATTTATCACCTCCATTTTACAAATGAGAAAACAAATTTAGAAAAGTCAAGTAACTTACTGCCTAATCATTCAGCTATTACTGACAGAGAAGGAATTCAAAATAGATGTTTGCTCTCTGGTTCTTCTCCAGTATATTGAGCTCAGATTCCCTGAGAGCAATTTCACTGTAGAGAGAGGGAGGGAGAAAGGAAGAGAGAGGGAAAAAAGCAACACTTGGACTCCCATTTAATTTACAAGCCTGTACTTGTCTGTTCAAGTTGCTCCCTTCATCTGGAGCCCTTCTCTAATACCCCTGCAGCTAATCACATCTGTGATTTAAGGTCCAGTTCCAATGTCATTTCCTCCACCAGCCATTCCCAATCGCCCACTCTCCCATTTAGCAGAAGTATCCCCAAGCTAAATTTTCTTGACCCTTTGCACTGGCACGTCTATTAACTCATGACTTCCAGCAAGTTTTAAAAAATTATCACTCCACAGGTTACTTATTAATTACAAAAGAAAAAAGGTGCCTTTACAATATAAATCTAGTAGACATTACTTTATTCAAATGATCAAATTTACATCAATGATGAAACTGACATCTCGTGCCTCTGATGTGATCCACACTGAGCGAAACCTAAAATAGGATACAGAGCATTCCATCCAAAAATGTTTAACTTGAATCTGATCTTGAAGAAACATTCAGACAAATCCAAATTAAGGAGCATCCTACAAAAATTGGTCTGAATGTTTACTGTTATGGGAGACCCAAAAAAGACTGAAAAACAATTCTAGGCTCAAGCAGGCAACTAAATACAAGGTTTTTAATCAAATCTTGGATCAAAAATAAAACCTGAAAAGCTAAGAACAGTATTTGGACAACTGGAGAAATTGGATATATATTATACATTAAATAATATTACATCCACATTAAATTTCTTGAGGGTGACAACTGAATTGTAGGTATGTAGAAGAAAGTCTTTGTTCTTGGGAAATACGTCCTAAAGTATTTGGAGGAAGGGTGTCCTGATGGTATCTATACCTAACTTGCATGTGATTTGGCAAAATATGTATCTATTTGCTCTTCGCAAAGCAAACATGGCAAATGTTAACAGTTATCTAAACTAGGTGAAGAGGGTTGAGTGTTTATGGTACTACTCCTCGAATTCTTCTGTAGGCTTACGATTTTTCAAAGAGTTGGGAAAAAATATTTAAAAGTTATGGATTAAAAAGAAATCAACAGAAAATAGGGAAAGGTACAAAGAATGATTTAGTACTCGTATTCTGTCTCCCAAAATTAACTGTTAACGCTGTTATAGTTGCTTCTAGTCTTTAAATAAAAATTACAGGTATCATCATCCCCTTTGTCACTACCTCTCATTATTCTTACTGCCTTCCAGAAGTTGTGAAATTATGGGGTAGGTATGCCCATTTTCAACTTTATTAAGTCTGCACATATTGTCTCTCAAGACAGCTATACCAATTTAAACTCCACCAGCAGTTTCTAAATTACCATTTTCAACCACATCTTCACTAATATTTGATACTGTCTGACATTAAAAATTTTTAACAATTTGTTGTGAAAAATTCAGAGTCACTTATACCAACCTAGGCTCACATAGCAAAAACACCTTTGCAAAATAAGAACTTTACCCAAACACCCTTCCTTTACACTACAGAAAGTTGATGATCAAACCTACCTGGCAGCATGTACTAAGAATGATCAGTCCTATATGAAACCAAATGCCCACAAAAGCACCACATAGTGTTTGGGAAATAATTTCCTTTTAAAAAATTGCAAGATGAAAAAGTTCAAATTCAACCAAGCATACACAATACTATTTGCAAATTATTTTAAAATGGATGTTTTATTCCCAGAAATAAAAAAAATCTAGCTTTTACAAATTAACTCATTCATTGACGTACTCAGCAAATATTTACTGAGTGCCTATTATGTGCCAGCCACTATTCCAGCACACTGGTGAAGACAAAGTCCCTATTCTCACAGAGCTGACATTCTAATTGGGAGACAAAGATTAAAATACTAAATCATTATGCAAATAATATACTAGATAGACAGATGCTATAAATAAAGGGACAGAGGGCTGGCCGAGTGGCTCGTTGGTTAAGATTTGGCTTGGAGGGCCGGCTGAGTGGCTCAGTTGGTTAAGAGCTCGCTCAA